TTTGCACTATTAAGAATTGAGAGAAGAGACATATGAATTGGAGTAAGAGGAATGAGTTTATTGCATTACTTCCCAAATATTACAAAGCTAGAATATATATATATATATATACACACACACATAGGTTGCTTGCAGACCAAACAAATCAACAAACTCTATATTAACTCACCAACACAAAAAAATTTATTATAACAAACTTTCTACTAACAAACTCTTGCTTAATTATCATGTAAGACACTAATTTTTTTTTATAAATTTAATATAAAATTGTATCTCGGTAGGTCTACAAGTAACTCTTGTACTTTTTTTTACTGTACTTTTTTTTTACTGTTGAATGATGGTCTTATTTTTTGGTGGATTATTGTTGATGCTCTTCCAGGAGATGTTTCTTTCTCTTCATGATGGTTCACTAAGGCTCAAGATCTAATTCAGTTTTTCTTTGATGGTGAATTGATTTATTGTTTTGATTATTTATGTTTGTTGCACTTGTTGTGCATTTTGTTTCTCTTTGGGATTTCTTTTTTGTCTTATTTTATGTTTTGTTGTTCATAATATTTTTAATTATTTAATGTCAAAAATAAAATAGGCTAGATGAGAAGAGAAGAGAAATTAAATGAATATAGGAGAAAAAACAAATAACAAAGGATTGAAATAAAAGGAAAATGAAGAGAGTAAGTTTTATTGATGATATTAATTAAGACAAATGTGATAAACAGGTATGACAACTGAATAACACTTAGGAAAATAATAACATTATTAATAAGTGTGCACAAAGAGAGATGTACGTGGAAACATGATATGCTAGGAGGAGCCAATGGGGGACTGTATTTTTGCAGTCATACATGAAACTTCATCTTCGTGACTAATTCCAAAATCAACTCCAAGTATGTCACAATATCTCCCATAAAATAGAATCCGACAATACTCAGATAAAGTCATGTACCCGAGTCTACATTCATCGTAAAATTGTAGAGCATGAGTCACCATAAACATTTATCAACAAAGTTTCCATATTTTTGACAATTGTAACATTGAATGTTACTTTTGTCAAACTTCTATCTTCCTCCTCTTACCCTATTGGTACAACCACCTCTATGAACACCTTGGTTTGAAACTTGTTTCTGATTTGATGAACTCCTTTCTTGATAGTAATTTACACCATACAAGTTTTTGTAGCCACCGCTACCTTTGTTACCAATCCAATTTCCTTTCCCTTATTATCTTTTCCCAATTGTGATTCAAGAGTCCCTTGTAGTTTTTATTTTGTAAAACTTGATAAATCTTTAGATTTTTCATGGCTACCATAATATGGCTGAATTTTGGAAGTAAATATCTTTGGATCTTTGTAACTACTTACTAGGTTGACATCACATCATCATACATCTTGATCTGGTACACTAACCTAATCACCCTTGTAAAAAATCACATATGCTTTCATTTTCTTCCATTTGAAGCAACTCATACAACCTCTTGTGAATTTGTAACCTCACCTTCTTTACCTTCCCAACATCAACAAACGAATTTTCCTATATATATCATGCCTCCTTTGATGAATCAACATCTTCAACCTTTTAAAAGTTATTTGGATCAACACATTATTGAATTATAAAGAGGGGTTTAAAATTCTTCTTATTCGATTCTTTATGAGCAATCTTCTGATCAACACTAGCACAATCACTAATTGGTGTAACTCATTTATTTATAAGATCCCACAAATCTCGATAGTAGAATAGCACCTTCATCTTTTTGCACCAATTATCATAATAATTTCCATTTAAAATTAGTATATTTGCAGGAAAGTGGCTATTTGGATGATAAGCCATTGCACAAGATCTTTCAAGAATCACAGTTAGAATCTCTATATACCAAATGTTAAATCAAAACACTTCAAGGAAAAACACAATCATTCTTCACTTGAATGATGGACATACATGGGTTGCTCAAGGCTTTTGTTATTTCACTCACACTCTTTGCACTATTAAGAAATGAGAGAAGAGACATATGAATTGGAGTAAGAGAAATGAGTTTATTGCATTACTTCCCAAAGATTGCAAAGCTAGAATATATATATATATATATATATATATATATATATATATATATATATATATATATATATATATATATATATATATATATATATATATATATATATATATATATATATATATATATATATATATATATATATATATATATATATATATATATATGCACACACACACTTATAGGTTGCTTGCACTCCAAACAACTCAACAAACTCTATATTAATTCACCAACATAAAAAAAATTATTACAATAAACTTTCTACTAACAAGCTCTTGCTTGTTTATCAAGTAAGACACCAAAAACAATAAATTAAATTTAATAGAAAATTGTATCTCGGTAGGTCTACAAGTAACTCTTGTACTTTTTTTTTACTGTTGATTGATGGTCTTATTTTTTTTTTGGATTATTGTTGATGCTCTTTCTAGAGATCTTTCTTTCTATTCATGATGGTTCACTATGTCTCGAGATCTAACTAAGTTTTTTCTTGACGGGGAATTGATTTATTGTTTTGATGTTTTATGTTTGTTTCACTTGTTGTGCATTTTGTTTCTCTTTAGGGTTTTTTTTTTTGTTTTATTTTATGTTTTGTTGTTCATAATATTTTTAATTATTTAATGTCAAAAGGAAAATAGACTAGATGAGAAGAGAAGAGATATTAAATTAATATAGGAGAAAAAACAAAAATAACAAAGGATCAAAATAAAATAAAAATGAAGAGAGTAACTTTTATTGATGATAGTAATTAAGACAAATGTGATAAACTTGTATGACACCCAAATAACACTTAGGAAAATAATAACATTATTAATAAGTGTGTACAGAGAGACATGTACGTGGAAACGTGATATACTAGGAGGAGCCAATGGGGGATTGTGTTTTCGCAGTCATCCATGAAACTTCATCTTCGTGACTAATTCCATAATCAAGTCCAAGCATGTCACAATATCTTCTATGAAATAGAATCCAACAATACTCAAGTAAAGTCATGTACCTAAGTCTGTATTCATCGTAAATTTGTAGGGCATAAGTCACCATAAACATTTATCAACAAAGTTTCCATGTTTTTGACAATTGTAACATTGAATGTTACTTTTGTCAAACTTCTTTCTTCCTCCTCTTACCCTATTGGTACAACCACCTCTATGAACACCTTGGTTTGAAAGTTTCTGATTTGATGAACTCCTTTCTTGATGGTAATTTCTACCATACAGGTTTTTGTAGCCACCACTACCTTTGTTACCAATCCATTTTCCTTTTCCCTTGTTATATTTTTCCAATTGTGATTCAAGAGTCCCTTGTAGTTTTTCTTTTGTCAAGCTTGATAAATCTTTAGATTTTTCTTTGGCTACCATAATATGGCCGAATTTTGCAAGTAAAGATCTTACGATCTTTTTAATTACTTATTAGGTTGTCATCACATCACCACACATCTTGATCTGGTACACTAACCTAATCACCCTTGTAAAGAAGTCACATATGCTTTCATTTTCTTCCATCTGAAGCAACTCATATAACCTCTTGTGAATTTGTAACCTCGCCTTCTTCACCTTCTCAGCATCAACAAATGAATTTTCCTATATATCTCATGCCTCCTTCGATGAATCAACATCTTCAACCTTTTCAAAGTTATTTGGATCAACACATTGTTGAATTATAAAGAGGGGTTTAAAGTTCTTCTTATTCGATTCTTTATTAGCACTCTTCTGATCATCACTAGCACGATCACTAATTGGTGTAACTCATTTATTTATAAGATCACACACATCTTGATAGCATAATAGCTCCTCCATCCTCTTACACAAGTTATCATAATTATTTCTATTTAAAATGGATACATTTGAAGGAAAGTGATCATTTGGACGACAAGCCATTGCCCAAGATCTTCCAAGAATCACAGTTAGAATCTCTAGATACCAAATATTGAAATAAACACTCTTCAAGGTAGAACACAATCACTCTTCTCTTGAATGATGCAGAGACGTACATAGGTTGCTCAAGACTTTTGTTCTTTTACTCGCACTTTTTGTACTATTAAGAATTGAGAGAAGAGACATATATATTGGAATAAGAAGAATGAGTTTATTGCATACTTCTTAAAGATTACAAAGCCAGAATATATATATATATATATATATATATATATATATATATATATATATATATATATATATATATATATATATATATATATATATATATATATATATATATATATATATATATATATATATATATATATATATATATATATATATATATATATATATATATATATATATATATATATAGGTTGCTTGCACACCAAGCAACTCAACAGACTCTAGCTAACTCTATATTAACTCACCAACATAACAAATTTTGTTACAACAAACTTTTTACTAACAAGCTCTTTCTTGTTTATCAAGTAAGACACCAAAAATAATAAATAAAATTTAATAGAAAATCGTATCTCAATAGGTTTACGAGTAACTCTTGTACTTTTTTTACTGTTGACTGATGGTCTTATTTTTTTGTGGATTATTCTTGATGCTCTTCCAAAAGACCTTTCTTTCTCTTCATGGTTGTTCACTAAGGCTCGATATCTAACTCAGTTCCTCCTTGATGGGGAATTAAATTATTGTTTTGATTTTTTGTGTTTGTTGGACTTATTGCTCGTTGGAATTTCTTTTTTTGTTTTATTTTATGTTTTATTGTTTATAATATTTTTAGTTATTTATAGTCAAAAGAAAAATTGACTAGATGAGAAGAGATATTAAATGAATATAAGAGAAAAAACAAAAATAGTAAAAGATCGAAGTAAAAGAAAAATTAAGAGAGTAACTTTTATATATGATAGTAATTAAGATAGATGTGATGTGATACACATGTACGACATCCAAATAACATTTAGGAAAACAATAATATTATTAATAAACGTGTACATAAAGAGATGTACGTGGAAACATGATATGCTAGGTGGAACCAACGAGGAATTGTGTTTTCGAAGTCATACATGAAACTTCGTCTCCGAAACTAACTCCATAATCAACTCCAAGTATGTCACAATATCTTCCATAAAATAGAATCCGACAATACTCAGGTAAAGTTATGTACCCAAGTCCACATTCATCATAAATTTGTAGGGCATGAGTCACCACAAACGTTGTCATCCCATATCCGGGAAACCTCCCTAGGGAAAGATCAAGATCAGAAGGGGTCCATATAATGGCCATAACATCGTGGCCAGATGGTAAATATTGTCCATATAATGGAAGAGGAGGTGTCATCCAAAACCATATAGCGGTCTTGAATGATATAACAGGGTCAGTGGCCACAAGGTCTGGATTATTGAGCAAATCAACACCTATTGCTTTTCCACACTTACCGTATAATTCATTACCACGTATCTGAAACGGACCTCTACCGTAGTATTCCTTTCCAAAAGCACATGGGAATTCAGAGCTTGGTTCACAGTAGTTCTTGCTGGGATTTTTTTGCTTCACAAAACAATATCCCCATTCGACTGGGTATGTCGTGTCTTCAAAATCTGCATTAGCAACCGTTTCTCTAGAAGTTTGACCAAAGAAAGCAGCAATGTCTCTTTTTTTACTATCTTCCCTGTATCCTTCATTACCGAACTTGGGGAAAGAGATGGCAGCTTCAACGAAAGCTTCATAGGTATAAAAGCCTTTCCCCTCACACCTTTTGTCATCTCGATTCTTGAGCATCTCATTGAAATCTTTTCTAGAGATGAGATACTCTTCTGGAAGAGGAGGACGAGGCGGTGGTGGTGGAGGAGGAGAGGGAGGTGTTGGTGGAGGAGGGTTGGTTCCGGTACATTGACTCTGGCAACCTTCACCGCAGTAGATGTCGGTTGATCCACAAAAACCCCATGCACTGCAACATAACTGATTTAGGCACAATGCACCACCAGCTTGTTTTCCGCATTGCTCTTTATCCGCCAAGGAACATCTTGATGATCCTATAACAAGAAGTATCACTACTACCAATCTCTTCATCTTTGTCATAATGTTTGTTTATGAAAGTGTATACATAATACCATTTTACTCTAAATCCTATAAATAGAGACGGATGGTAATATAATAATAATAATAATAATAATTAAATATATAACTAAATAATTGATAATCAAACTTGAAGATATTATATTTATTATTCAACAAATAAACATTAATCAATAAAACAAGTTGAGCTCATGTAAGAAAAGATTTTCAAAATCCCAAAAGGGGCCAGCGCCCATGCAGAGATAAAGACATCTGTTATAGTTATTAATATTGTCATCATGCATGGAGCTGGATCTAGATAATCATAATAATACTATTATATAATTATACTGTTACTATTATTGACATTGTCCATTTGGTTCCGACGATCATGTGTGCATTTTGAATACTTGAACCCGCATAATGACTTGCTGCTCGTGGTTCTCGTGTTTTCTTTTTTCTATTTGGTTATATATATATATATATATATATATATATATATATATATATATATATATATATATATATATATATATATATATATATATATATATATATATATATATATATATAATGCCCTAGCTTTTATAATCTAATATCGTCCTATACTATGTCCAATCATTGAAGCTGAATCCATGCTTCTTGCTCATGAAGTTAAACTAGAGAAAACTAAGAAGGCTACTCTCTCTGAGCCTTTATCTGTCAATGTTGCACAGGCTACACCAGCTGTAGGTGCTCAAACTACACCTGATTCCACTCATATAATGTAGTATGCTGAGAATCCTTCTTATGGTGAAGGACGTGGAGGTTTTCGTGGCAGGCATAATCGTGACAGAGGTGGCAGAAACAAAGTTCAGTGCCAAATTTGTTCTAAACCTGGTCTTGATGCAAGCATTTGCTATCATAGACACTTTGTTGTAATGCCCTCTATATGAAATGCTACTCCACAACAGCAGAGGCCTGCATGGAATCAATGGCTCAATCCTACTCTAGCTCAGTCTATAACACCAAGTGGCTACAATTACTGGATTCCAAGCTCTAGTGCTCTCACACCTATGCAGAATCCATGGTTTTCTCCTATTCTTAGGGGTCCCTCTCTTGGCTTTGCTCAAAGGCCTGTGTATCAACCACAAGTTCACTTTTCTGGCACAGGATTTATGGCTCCTACTGATTTCACTCAACAGGCACAACGCTGACATCCTGACTCAAGTGCCACACATCATGTGACTAGCAATGCAGGTTACTTGTCTGAGAGTGTAGTATTGCCTGGTATTAACCAATTTTTACTTGATAATGGTCAAGGTTTACCTATCACCTCTATTGGCACTGTCCATTTTTCCTCACTTTGCACAGCACACACCTCTCTCACACTCAAGAACCTTCTTCTTGTTCCTCACATCACAAAGAATTTAATGTCTTTGAGTCAATTTGCTAAGGACAACCATGTCTACTTCGAATTTCATCCTGACAAATGCTCTGTTAAAACACATGGTGAATCCAAGATTGTGCTTCAAGGGTCCCTTAATAAAGATAGTTTGTATACCTTAGGGTATCTACAACCAGTTTCCAGTTCTACTGCTCAGACTTCTGCATATATCAATAATGTATCAAAGGCATCTATGGCTCCTCCAACTATTGGTCCATCAGCTTACACCATATGGAATAACATGCTTGGTCACCCCCATCATGAGGAATTAAAGTCCATCTTACATCTTTGCAATACTTATGTTCCCCACAAATCTCCACTGGACTTATGTACCCTTAGCTGCCTGGGAAAAATCCATAGACTTCCTAGCACAGTCTCACACACAAACTACATTAAGTCTTTTGATTTGCTATTTGCTGATGTATGGGGCCTTGCTCCTATGGATTCCAGTTGTGGTTATAAATACTTACTTACCCGTGTTGATGCATTCTCTAGATATACATGGGTGTTTCCTATTAAATTGAAGTCGGATGTATTGCTCACTCTCACACACTTTATCACCAATATTGAAGTTCAATTCCTAACTCAGCTCAAAGTTGTTCAAACTGATGGAGGAGGGGAGTTCAAAACTCTTACTCCTTTCTTTCACTCCAAGGGAATTAACCACAGGTTTGCATGTTGACACACCCATCATCATAATGGGTCAGTTGAGAGGAAGCATAGGCATGTGGTTGAAATAGATTTAACCCTGCTTGCACAAGCTAACTTACCCCTCAAGTTCTGGGATCATGCTTGCTTAACTGTAGCCTACTTGATCAACAGAATGCCAATCCCCTTACTAGGCATGAAATCTCCTTATTTTATGCTCTACAATGAGGTGCCAGACTATAAGTCCCTTAAAGCATTTAGATGTGCTTGTTTGCCACACCTTAGGACATATTCTGCTAACAAGTTCAATTTCCACTCTCAAGAGTGTATTTTCCAAGGGTACTCCTCAAGTCACAAGGGCTACAAATGCTTGGATCCCACTGGAAGAATTTACATATCTAAAGATGTTGTCTTTAATGAGGCAGGGTTTCCTTATACTTCCATGTTTGCCTCTACCTCAATTCCTATATCTGCTTCCTCTCCAAATCAAACCTCATATATTTTTCCCATTGGCCTCATGCAGTAAACACTCCCACAACCTTCTCCTCTTGCAACTATACCTTTCTCTCCTTCATCAGCATCCCCTTCTTCTTCACCATCCTCCACTTCTATTTGTCCTAATGTTACTTCTAACACAACTCTCACTAGTCCTTCCTTACAGCCATCTTCTTCACTTGTGTCCCACAACTCACCTAGCCCCCCTTTACCTAACACACCCAATCCTGATTTTATTCACCCTCACAATACTCATACCATGATCACAAGAGGAAAGAGTGGCATAGTTCAAACAAGAAAGCATCCAACTCTATTGCTAACAGATCCTAAGTGGGTGGATGCTATGCAGGAGGAATACATTTCACTACTTAAGAACCACACCTGGGATCTCACTGATTTACCACCAAATAGGTAAGCAATTGGTTGTAAATGGGTGTTCAGGATCAAGCAAAATCCTGATGGAACTATCAACAAATACGAGGCTTGTTTTGTGGCCAAGGGGTTCCATCAACAACTTGGTTTTGACTTCACTGAGACCTTCTCTCCCGTGGTAAAATCTGTAATAGTTAGGGTGGTGCTAACTATTTCCATCTCAAAAGGGTGGTCCCTAACTCAACTTGATGTTAATAACTCCTTCTTGAATGGTATTCTTCAAGAGGAAGTCTATATGGAACAACCCCCTAGTATTTAGTCTCCTTCCCCTAACATGGTATGCAAACTAAACAAAGCTCTATATGGGCTTAAACAAGCTCCTAGAGCTTGGTTTATGATAATGCGAAATTATATCGTATATTTGACTTGATTCACATGGATTTTAGTTTAATTTTTCTTTATTTATGTCTTGTTATGCCGATATTATTATCCTATTTCAGGTATCTCATGTAGAGTTGGAGATTTGAGTGAAAAGAAGAGAAAAAATAAATAAATTCAAGTAAAGTGGTGAAAAGAGCAAAGAGGGGTGTTAGCAAAAAGGATAATATTTAAATCCCACAGAACAAGGCCCAGTGGTGCCCACCACCTCAACATGTGACGCCTGCCACACATGAAGAGAGTGACGCCCACCACTACTAAGCGTGGTGCCTGCCACGTCCAAATAGCAAGGAGCGGCGCCTGCCACCTCCATATGTGGCACCTGCCATGAAAGCCCACTCACCTGCATTTTCTCCACTCTCCTGGATTCTTTCCACATATTGTCTTTCTCGTTCAACCTAACTGTTCCTAAACTCACATTATTCGCCATATTTTCAAGGAAGAGGTTGAATTATAATTGGGACTGACACTTACAGTGGAGGGTTCGTCGTTTTCTAGCCAGAGCTTTGTTCTTAGAATTTTTTACGCAGTTAAATTACTCGCAAAAGTGATAGATCTTCCACATTGGGGGACTATCACAACTCTACTTGTTTTTTTAATTCTGTAATGGACTCTTCAAGTGTGCCAGCATATTTTCAATTGGTTTTGAGTCATTGCACCCAGAGCTATTTTCTAGAATTTAATCAGATTTAATTTTATTTCAGGTTCTATTTTTATTGCATTTTTAGTTTTAGTTTTGATTCTCGTTTTAGTCTTATCTCGGTATTGTTATATTTTATAAAATAATGTTCTGTTTATTGTTTAATAATCATACTAGCATGTTAGTGTTTATAACTATGTCCGGCTAAATAATCAGATACTGGTATGTAACAGTAGTCGTCTGAACATGATTCAGCAATAATTGGCATTATTTTTTATAAGTTATTTTTCTGGTTTTAGTTTCTAATTTAAAATTAAAAACAACTTTTGTACGAGAGTAAAAAGAAAATAAAGGTTAAAACTAAATAGAGTGATAGTTTGATATTGTAACCAGATAGTGGAAATTAGGCATTAATCCTAAACACAGCGATAACGCTTTAGGATTAATTAGAACTTACTGATTTTCAAAAATTTAATTCAAATGAGTGAGCGACAACAAAGCATTTTGGCTTAAGAGTATAGTCAGAGTCAATAGCGCGAAAGTGTGAGATAAAGTCTTTTAAATCAATTTTTTCCACATAAAAGTATTTTGACACGCCAACATTTTATCGAATCTCTGAAGTATGATGAGTTACATATCGGTGTCCCGTCATTAAGTTTGAATTTATTTCCCATTTTCCTCAAACCCAAGTGTTGTACCCCAAAATTTGTCCTCCCATTTCCTCAACATTTTCTCATCACAAGACCCTTGGAGCTCAAGATCCAGTTAGGGTTTGCTCTGCTCAAGACTCTTCCTTGCACTATTGACCCAAATTAGGGTTTGTGTTTGCACAAAGATGTTTTGACCTAAAATTCCTAAAATGACTTTCATGCTTCAAGTTGGACTCTCAAGTTTACCCATGCCAAGGTTCAAGCCTTGATTCCAATCTTTGCCCAGTCAATTGGACAGTTGACCTAGAAATCAACTGTATTGGGGAAAAAGTCAAATGTGGCCAATTGACAGTCA